TTTGCACTTTACATTTGCACAATACATTTCTCCCAAAGTGCTTCGTTGATTTTTTAAAAATTTTGTATTCATTTAATTAATATTACTAATTATCAATTGCATTGATTTAAACAATCTTTTCCCATTTCTAGTTTTTAACTTTAAGCAATGCATTTAATAAACTGTTTAATCGTTCTGGGAATGCTGTTATTGTGAACACATGAACTGCTTTTATTTGAGAATTTACGATATGTCTGCGTTAATAATCCGTGGGGGTTTTTTGTGTGTGTCAGGTGGTTCGTTTGTTGAGCAGACTGATGACTCAGAGATCAGAGAGCTGGGCTACCAACCGGCGGAGCAGCTGTCACTGTTATACTGAGGTAACTGTCTGAAACGATGTTGTGTCCCTGTGAAGAGTGACGAGTGTTGCATCTTTATGCATTTGTGTTTGATTCCTTCACAGCTGGTTCAGACAGCAGTGATTGTTTTCCATCGTCAGTGGTTAGATCTGCGTGGTTCTCAGGAGCAAACAGACCCAACAGGTTGGTCATTCAGGTTGAAAGCATGAAATGTCAGTAACACAATGGTCTGAAAGGTTACTATAGTTAAAAACAATTATAAAATAATATGTTAAAAAAAAATTAATTAACTGAAGTAAACTAGACCTTGGAAATTTTTAAAACTAATGATAACAGGTTTGGAATTCGGAAAACTGAATAAAATAAAATAAAAATATAACAGAATTATCCTTAGTTTTTGATAAAATTTTGCTACAACTTGGCTGATGAGACGTTGATGGATGAAGTTCTGGATGTCTATAAGAATCTGAGTCAACTTGCTTTGGAAAGGTTTTTATTGTAATACTTGCATTTATTTTGAAATCTTGCCTCTGATCTATGCCCTACTTACCATAATAATAAAAAAGACTAAAACAAACACTGAAACTAATAAAAAACTAAAACTAAACATTTCAAACAATAAAAATGAAACTGAAATAAGAAAATACACTCTTTAAATGAACTAAAACTAAACTATCAACTGAAAATCAAAATGACAATAACAATACAAACCCAATAATAAATACAAAACTATAATAATTCTGACAGTCTGTTTCTAAAAACACGGTTTCTTTGCATTGCTTCTTGTTCCAGGGTTTGCCTCACCTCTGCAGCCATGCTGTAGCTCTTCTTTGCCATGGTGGCACAGCTCAGCGGCATCTCTGCTCAGAGAGTGTGTGCTGCTGTTGCATTGGTTGCTTCTAGATCATGGCAGCTTCTCCGAGAGCTGCAGGCCGCTCCTGCACATGTACGACCAGGTGATCCCTGCTGTTCGAGACACGCTGAGGAAGATCCCGGATCTGACCGAGAGCGAGGGTACGGACGCACAGAAACACGCACACTGAATCTAAGCCTTGAATTAATCTTTTAAACTATTTAGGAAGATTTAATGTGGTGTTTAAGTTCCACTATAACTGTTTACACCTGAATACACCAACTCAAACAATTTTGTATGAAGAGCTTTGGCTCTCCTCTCTCTTAACCGCTAAGAGCATGATGAGTTTTTCCTCACACACCCCCTCCTGGATATGACTAATTACCACCTCGAATCTTACATGTATCACACAGATAATTTTAGCTGTTAGATAACAACATGTCTGTCTTCAGTTGTGTGATGAGGCATCTCTGGTGGTACGTGTTGTCAAACCATTTTTATACTAGAATTCCACCTGATGATCTGTGATTATTCTGGTATTAAACTTGAGGTTTGGGGTGCTTCTGGATTTCACCTGGTAGAGCACGTGCTCCATAAATTTAACTCTAAAATCCTTAGTGCAGCACTCCTATATTCAACTGCCCCCACACTATTCGCTGCATGTCATTCTGCTTCTCTCTCCCACCTTCCGTTATTCCTGTATTTTATCAGAAAAGCCAGAAATAAAACTTAAGGAAAGAAACAGCACCTTCTGTCCAGCAACATTTTCCACCTCCTGTTGCTGCAGCTGCTGGGTGCTCACAGGTCACATCATATATTTATAACCTCCCGTAAGTTGTGGGTCTTCCCTGGGGTCTCCTCAAAGCTAAACGTGCCCAGATAACATCCAAAGGCAGGTTCTGGGGGGGGCATCCTGATGAGATCTCCGAACCTAAACAGCTTTTTATTTGTTCATCAGTATTTAAATCTAGCTGTATGTACCAGGATCACTGGATATTTAAATGTAACTTTAGTATTACTGTAGTGCAAAATGAAAAGAAAGAAAAGAAAACAAATACTCATAAGCCCAACATTCTGTTTTCTGTTTTTTTTCTCCATATTTAATGCATGATGCAGCTTTATGGGTCTGCTTCTCTTTGAGCGATCTAAACTAATTCTCTTTGTTGTCTGTCTTCCACGTCAGAGCTACTCAATGTGCATTGCTCATAATAAAACATAATCATGTCTGAATGTCATTAATATTATCAATTTGACCATTTTAGTATGACTGCTAGCTACATCATCCAGTATTTACACCTTACCCGATTGCTCTTGTGTTCTCATACGTTAAAACTGTCACACTTTTTTTGCCATCTTTCACATCTTGTAGAGTTGGCATTGGACGAGATCTGCCGCTCAGAGGGGGATGAAGCTGATGACATGGACACTGACGCCGGCTCCTAAATGGCTGCTCCCACTGACCTCTTGATTTAGTGACGCATGCCAACATGAGGGACAGTTTACTGACTGCTGATGCAATATGTTTTAGACTGGAACAAGGACAGAGCAGCCTGTGGTTCTTATCAGACTTCTAAGTGAAGTGAAGGTTTCACAGAAATGGAATAGAGGTGAGTCAGAGGTCTGACTGAAGTAATGAACACAGAGTGTTTACTCTGCTTTCAGATGGGATTTCATAATAAAACATGAAGGTGAGGGGGGAAAAATCTCCTGTCAGTATTTATGTTTACTTGTAATCTTTCTTTTCTTTCTCTTCTCCTACTTTCTTTGTTAAAGTCAAGGCTACTCTTTTATTTCTCTGTGCTTTTAACTAATATGTAGCTGGGTATTGCCCCACAACTATCAAATATCAGTACAACTATTGATATTTAAAAAAAAAGGGTGGAATTTCTTAACTGCTGTATAATTTATAATACTATGACACAGTTCCAGTTATACTCAGACTATTCTTACTGCAACTCTCCAGTTCTTTATTACTGGATGATTAGCAGATGATACTCTGCACCACTTTTGGAAATTTCATCAGTTTTTCCCAAGACCCTCTCTGAATATGGAGCTACCCTAAACTTTGCACATGCACAGACAGGTCAACAGACCTTGTCTCTCTTTCTAGCACCTCTAAGGGTCATTCACTTGTTTGCACAATTATATACAAACATGTTTTATTTTTATTATTATGTTTAAAAATTAAGGGTGTAAAATTGAAAGCCAATGATACCAAAATGCTGGTACAGGTACACTTTAGACTTGAAAAAATGTTGTCTTAAGATAATATGGGGATTGTGTGTACGTGTAAAAGAGACCATATGCATGCAGGCTCAGAACACGTCAAGTTTATTTAATTAAAATTCAACAAAAAAAACCCTTTGACACCAAAACATTTTTCAAAACCTTTATTTTTTTCTCTTCATCTGTAAGTTGGACCAGAATCATACAGCATACCAGGAAGCAGCTTATTGTCTGAATTGAGGTTTGTTTCTAATTATTATCGTCTTCAATGGACACACAAGACCAGTAAGTGAGGATTAATCGTATTCCATTATCTCAAGATCATCACTTCATTATTTTCTTAATGAGTCAACAAATGTTTCTTCTCCTTTATCCTCAATTATTCACAAATTAAATTGCTCAGTGACATTCTGAGAGAATAAGATGTGTCCCAGAATAAACACAGTTGTTATTCATTCACAAATAAATGTCAAACACCAGAAAACAGTTTATAAGTTTGTATCAAAATATAAATAATTTGTGGAGATTATTATGAGATACAGGTTTTTTATAAGTCCACGAAAAACAGATTATATTAAATTACCCAATGAAGTTTTGATCTTAAGGTCTGAAAAATATTTTATCAACCATGGCTGCTCTCTGCTTGTGTAAAAATGGATGAGAACACTGATAGCTGAAGCTGTATTCCTTTTCAATGCCATTTTTATATTAAAAAAATTATAATCTGGTTCCTAATGTTTTTCAGAAAGATGTGTTTGATCTTTCTCACAATCACAGAAGGAAATCAGCATTGTAAACACTGAAAGAAAAAAGCTATGTCCCATTTTAAGCTCCACCTCCTTTTGAGTCCACAGTTTTAAATATAAGGTGTGTTCAGGGCAATTCTCAACACACTTAAGTACATTTTTTTTGCCCTTAAAGGGGACCTATTATGCCTTATCGTTATATATAAAAAATATAATGCTAAACCTTTAACATTTTCAAATAACAAGGTCAACATATGTATACATAACCTTCCTTTAAACACTATTTTAACAATTTATTGCAGTACTTGGCTCTATGTGATGTCATTGAGGCCAAATATGCCTAATATACAGCTTTGATAGCACTGAGCACAGAAGCCACACCCATCTGCTGTTCAAACCTTCAGTTTATGAGGGGCAGTCTAGTAGATGACAGTTGCTTAATCATATTGCTCAAGTACATGTTAGTTGAGCAGATTGGGATGTAGGATATTCTCCACTGCACTTATTGAGGATGTGCACCTGAACACACCATTAGTTCTCATTTGTGTCTGGAAAATTTGAGAAAGAAAACCACCTTTGGAGGCCCTGCCACCTAAAAGAGGCGGGGCTTGAACTGAGACACAGGTAGAGAAAGAAGGCACATAAGGGTCAAGTAATCCAGGATTAGACTGTCTCTGTAGTGCGGCTTTAATGTGTCTATATCTGTGAAGACCTCTTTGGAGTTTTGAGTGTGAGGACGGAGCCACACATCCCGAAGACGCTGTTTTTATAGTCCAGATTAGGTTTTACACCTGAAGTGTGAATCAGGTTTAGGCTGCAGGCTGCAGGGATTCATTATAGCAGTTCAGGTCCTCACAAAGAAATAGAGATGTCTTTTAATTTGTCTCAGTCCATATTGGCACCACTTGGTCATTGTCCTCTTGTTTATTCTGTAGTGTTGTATGGGAGCTGTGATGTATCTTGTGCATGTTGCTGTGTGGCATGCGAGGTTTGGTAAGCCACGGGTGCATCGGCAGCTCAGATGCCGTCAGTCTCTCAGTGGGAGATTTCCTTAGCATGCAGCCAATCAGACACTTGGCCTCTGGCGACATCCAATCGGGCAGGCTAAATGCTCCACGGCGTATCTTAGCAAACAGCGCAGCAGGCTGCGTGTCCTGAAAAGGGTATCGGCCAATCAGCATTGTGTACAGAGACACGCCCAGGCTCCAGATGTCTGCAGCACGGCCTGAGTACGACCCATTCCCATTGGTCAGGAGCTCAGGGCCAACGTAGGCAGGACAGCCATGTCTGTCTGTTAGCGAGTCATCGTCGTTGTTACCATGCAGGAGCATGCAGTCATCGAGTCCGAGTAGTGCCAGACGAGTCCTGGGAAAAGAAAAAGAAAACACTAGTCAGACAGACGTTTTTTGTCAGCAGCGGTATTTGTACAGTCTTGGCTAAGTAGCCAAGACTGTAAGATACAGTAAAAGTATATGCCTCCTTCATGCTAGTAAGATCAATATAGCGATATTTATACTTGTTCATTTGTTGGGAGTAGTATGCATTCTTTTAGACTCCCTCAAAATGGACCTTTGTGACTACAAATGTAAGCGTGAATGGACTACATCCATTTATGATATGCCCCGTGAATGTATTTTGTAACCACAAGAGTCTCCCCCTGCAGGCCATTAAAGTTAATATTTCACAGCACTTCCACCTGGGCCCTACATCTGTCTTTTACAGTCTCAGGTATTACTGCTGTAATAGTGCTATTACCAAAGCACCAGTCTCGGAGTCTCACCTGTATTTGTCGATGAAAACGAATCTGCGGAGCTTCAGGTCTCTCAGAACGACTCCATGGTCATGACAGTGCATGACAGCATTCAGCATCTGGGCGAACAAAAGCCCCGCCTCCTCCTCGTTCAGGCGTTTCCTGTTTCGCACATACGCATGCATGTCACCGTGGTGACCAGGCAGGAAGACATACACGTTGTGTTGGCCAATTACAACATCCTGCAGAGCGCAGATGTTTTCATGTTTACCAATCCGGTCATAGGCCGCCAACCGCTCCTGGTATCCACGTAGTGGGAGCACCTGTGGGGAAAAAAGGAGTGACTGTCATGGGTAACGTACTATGATGTAAAATACAGTCACTACTTTCACAAGTGTTTTAGAGTAATCTCTTCCTAATATTATCATTAGCACTACTTCTGAAGTATCGACAGTACAGTTTTTTAACAGGTATTCAATTCTTATTAAAAGTAACAGTGACATTTTTCTGAGTGTTACCTGACAGGTGTACTGCTGCTGTGTGTGCACATGCACAGCCCTGTAGGTCTCTTCCCTCTCACACCGTTCAAAGAGGAAATATGACCCAACTCTTGATGAGGACTGGCTCGAGTTGGATGTGGGGGCGGGGCTTGTGGGTCTCAGGCAGGGTGATATCCCAGTAGAGGTAGGGGGTGGAGCCAGACGGGCTTGTTTACATTTCAGTGAATCGCCTTGAGGCTCATCCAGAAGCCTCTTAAGACACAGCTGAGATCTGGTTGTAGAAACGCTGGCGCTCATCTGTGATTGGAGACATCATCAGGTTAATGTACACTTCCATGTAATATGCTGCAGCAAGTACAGTCCCAAACTGTCCCAGTTAAACACAGCCAATATTTCAATGAATAAAGCCACCATATCTAGAAGCAATACCTGTGAGCCAAAAGGCCAGGATTCAGAGTGCTCCAAACCCTCGCTTTCTGACACTTTTTCCCCAATCTGACCTCTGGATGGTCTCATCTCCACTAATTCAATCACTGAACTTGTCCTCTTTACCTTGCTTTTCTTGTTGGTTACTTCTGGAGCATTTTAAATGGGGTTTTCTGAGATTCTGGTAATTTATTAGTATCTTACTTAGCACTAATAACGGGCGTGTGTATCTGTGCATTGCACCTTTATAAATGCATTTTGTCATTATATGGTCAGTATGATTGTTAAAAGGGTGAAGAGTCTCAATTTATGCAGCATTAAAAAGCTCTTTAAAATTGCAGAAATCCTTAATCCTAAACCATTACTATGAAGAGGAGCGCACTATTGTTAATGATTAAGTAATGTTTCATTCAATGTTTGGTAATTTGCTGGCTGTTTAATTTTAGAGGCCCTGACCGCACTGCAGCGCCCTCTGCAGGTGACACTCTGACTTGGCCCCTTCTGTCCGCTGAACACTTGTCAGTAACACTTTCACATACAGTAAGAGAAGTTATATTTGTATCATATCTCTCCGTGTTCTGCGTCTCCGCTGCTCACATGTTACACAGTCGGTGTGTCTATAGGCTTCATGATGCAACTTCCTGTAAGCTGATGGGTGCTTCAGCTTTCAGATAGTTGCATCAGAGCACAACAGTTTATAGTTTAAACAGGCTTTAAATACAGTCAACAATTACACACACACATGCAAGAGAGAGAGTGTGTGTGTGAGTGAGTGAGTGAGACTTATGTAAAGTTTTTTTAGAGCCTGTGGTCGCTGTGGTAACACTGTGTTGCCTGCTGTGGGGCAATGCTGCTTTCACTCTGCTGAAACACCCTGAGTCACAGCAGCAACGTCATCCACCCCCAAATACACAAACACTGAATCTAAGATGAATGATTTCTCCATGACGTTCTGTTCAGCTCATAATCAGAAATCCGGTTCTTAAAAATAACCTAAAAGAAAACGTTTGTGGGGTGTGTAACAGTGTGTCCTGAAATGTAGTGGCACTCAGCATTTTGTTAGTGATGCCCGTTTCTTTTGTTTATTCTTCATATTCAAAAACAAGTGAACATTTGCTGGAATAGTTTAGATAGCTCAGCAAAATTACAACAGTTATTAAATAGACTAACAGAATAAACTTTTGACTTTTATCATTTTCAAAATGAGAGGGGCTAGAGCTCGTGGGAAACGGGAGTTTACACAACTGTTAACATTTATTTTATTTCTTTAATCTTAATTACAATCCAACTTTATCATCTAAAAAGGTAAAGCAGATCTGTGACTAGGCTGAGTTTAAGTAAATGCAGTTATCAAAAATCCCACTGGTATTTGTTATAAGGTTTCTTAATTCTGTAGTTTAATCTCGGCTTTTTATGTGTATTCCTGTTTCTGAGTTTGCTTAAGTCTTTAACGTAGCCTCACTTATGATTTTTACTCTTATCTCCATCTGAATGATAATTCAGAACCGCTGTTTTGACCGTCCACAAATGTACTTTAAAGGTAAAAGGGGATGAAGCAGTTTTCACCACTGAACCTTTTGAACCGCACGGGAACAGTGTGGCACTGTAGTGTTTTGTTTTGTTTTTTAACTTGGTCAGAAACTCAGATATGCAGCAGATATACTCAACAGTCACTCCAATAAAATTCCAATTTCTTTTGGCATTTTTGCTTAAATAACTTAATTAAA